GATGCAACAAGATGCCAGTACTAAACCTACATGGCTTCTCCGACATTCTACTTGCGGAGCCTTGTGGGCACGCGTGTAGTTAGCGTCCCCGTTTTCTAGAATTTGGCCTGGATGATTGAATTGTACACAGTAAGTGAGGTTAATGATGTCAACAACAAAGAGATCTGACTATTGCCCGTCCAACTCAGTTGAGGTGTAATTTTCTTTTCAGTAGATGCCTACGCCAACGGATTTCAAGACTGCAGTCCAAAGTCAGATACAGCGAGCAAAAACTAGATACAGGTAATGTAAGTGCAGTACACTGCTCTCTATACACTTCCTGCCTGAGTTGCGAACGGAAAGGGATGCTTGACAAGCAAAACACGATGGGCACATGGGAGGGTCAAAGACAAGGAAAGCGCACGTGCCATGTAATTTAGGACTTTCAAATTCTGAGCAGCGCAAGAAAAATTGCATAAGAGATTCAATACGAGATTTCTCCCCGACCTAGAAGCTAGGGCGAGAAACAGGGCAAAAATTAGCTAAATTGGTTCCTCGCTCGTGGACATTCGAAACGGTATTCGCTTAACGGTCATTCAAATTTGTAACGGTTTTCCTAAAGTCACGGCTACCTTGCTGTTTGGAAGCATGAGATTGCAACCTTAAGGAGCAGTACAGCCAAAAATTAAAAATCCGTCTTCGTATAGACGGTACTTCTGTCAGTAAACAAATAGGGCCTTATAAAAAAAATATTACAGTCAGCCTTTTGCTACTTGAGACCGCTTGTGGACTGTACATATCGATGGTTTAACCTCCCAAATCTCCACCCTCATCATAATGACACATTTCCCCCTCTTCTCGACCCATCCCCATGCTCATCTATCACATATCTCAAGTTTCTTTTGCTTATGAATACAAAGGCTTACGACTCCTCCGACCACGGTATCGCCTCACTCCTCCAATTCCTCGTCGAGATAACGTTGAATTATGTTTAACGTTTCCTCAGGCTTCTCCGCGTGGACCCAGTGACCGGCATCTCTGATGGTGGCTGGAAAAGAGAGGATAGTGGAAATGGGAACTATATCTTAACGGGTAAAAAAATGGCCAGACTAGGACTGTTCCGAGAAAAAACCAAGCGTACGAAAGACCATCCAATTAATTTCTCGTGGTTTGCAAGCAAAGATAGTATAAAACACTGCTCAAGCAAGCATTCTTTCCATTCTTCTTCCCACCTCCTTCCACCTACCCAAGGAGAAAGTCGGAAACAGCTGCGCAATGGTGGACAGGTGCGCGGTCCGGAGGTATTTGCTCTTCCCCCCGTTCAAAAACAGGGTCTTGTGCGGGTAGGCAGTGCTGCAGCTGGTGGAGTCGTCCCCGCCCACGTCAAAGGCCGCGATTTCGGGGAGGGCACTGTGGGTACCGAGAGAGAAACATGACATGGAGGGGATGATCAGATCCCCGGAGGAAGACTGGCCACCTCGCCGACACAAGACTTTGACCGCCCCCCCCCCCAAACCTTTGGGATCTCCTGA